TGATAGAAGAAGGGGTGAATACAAGTATTTAGAGTAATATTAAAGGTAAATTCTGATGGTTCTTCAGTACACATCCCAAAGATGCATCGTTAACTCCTATAACAATAAGATCAGTATGAGTAAGGAGCAAATTTTAGCACCAAATTAAACTCTTGGAGACAGTATCCTGCTGAACCTCTGAGGTTTATTGTCATTTAGGATGCCACGAATGTCCTGAGTCATTCTCTTGGTGAAAATTATACTGATCTCGTCAACCTCGCTTGTTGTGACTGGCACATTGTCATACAGAAACAGATCGAGTGGCGAAACTACAGATATCGACTCCCTTTAACATTTTATGGGATCAAACTTTGCTTATGGTTTAGTACCTACCTATTCAAGTTTTTGCCAAGTGGGAATGCCGATAATGAGGAACTTATCAGCTTTCGCCGACTGGTTGGTCACTGAAGTTTGAGTCGGATTTACGAATACACTTGACCATATTATACCATCTTTTTCACCTTGGCCATCCGAAAGCACTCCTTGGATAAACAAAGAAATTAATATGATGTCACAGGAGGGGAAACAATCATGATAACAGTTTGCCGAAACTGGAAGTATAGAGTTCGGTCAGAGTATTGAGAATCTACGAACCTCTGAGAAACGATGGTCATAGTAACCTAGAGGATATGAGAAACAGTCGACATCCATATACTGACACTGTCCCAAATTACTCAAATACAAGATGAGTGGGTGAATGAATCAGCTGAAGTAGAGGCCACGAACCAACCAAAGTACTTCTACTATGGTTTCTTTTATGATATCCATAGACAAGAACTTGGTGGTGTCAGATTCATATAAATGCTCACTATCATGACAGATGGTGCTTAAACTGCCATTAATCTCAAGCACCAGGACGGATCGGGGTTCTTTTTAAGCCATTGCTTTCCCCAGTTGACACAGCATACTGCTTACAGAGATATCCACCACCACGTGAATATTTTAGACCAGGCTACCTGGTGATCGAAAGATGCGAATGTGACCCAATTCTCCAAAGAGGTTGATGGTATCAAGTCAACCAACCTATGAACTCCACATACTGTCTGGTGGACAATCTTGCCCCAGTGGTGGAGTAGCAGCGATAATTCAGCCCGGGACGATCCTGAATGAAAAATTTGTTGACAGCTAGGCGCAAGTGGGTAGAAGCAAGAGACAGGAAATTAATGTCTGATTCAACGTTTATTAACCTTAGCAATTCATTCGACTTGGTGTACTGAGTAACTTCCTTCAGTACCCTAAGGGGATTTGCTCCGGATAACACCTTGAGGGATTTATTTATTTGCTGCCGACTGAACATAAGTTTAATGATGGCGATAATAGTAATAAATCTGGGTGGAAATCCTTCTCGAAGGGGGTCGCTCAAGGTGCCATTACAGGCTTCTTGCCTGTCTTGTAACATCAATGAAATATCCCAGCCCTGGGTGATAAGAAAAAGACGTAAACGGAGATTTTCTTTTCGACGATTCACTTTCACAAGCTATACAAACGTGATTATACTTAGGAGAGAAATCATAAGACCAGTCAGATACGGATAATATTTTTTCTCGGAAAATGTATTACGTAATGTGTGTGACCTAGACGTTTCGAGCAGCCACCTTACGTATCACATTCTCCAACACATGGTTAATCCAGTCCAACGTTAAGGATAAGGCACCGCTTCTGGCCACCTCAATGTGTATTTATCAGTTTACTTGCTCGTGTGGAGAAAAGTATGTTAGCCGCACGCACCGTCAATTACACAGACGTATTTAGGACATTTTCCAGCTTGGCCAGCCAGGTGAGAAAGCAAAAATAGCAGCATTTCCATCCTCGAACACCTTGTCAACTCTGGACATTTTTTTTTATTTACAGCTTGATTCCACACCGTATTTTCAGAACAAGTGTGGAATTTTCAGCATGGATATCGGTAGCCCAAATTCAGGCTGACCATAGATATCGGGTGTGCGCCGGCAGGGGATCGAACCCCGGACCATGTGCATGGTCGGCGAGAGTCCTAACCACTGTGCCACCGACGCACATCGAGCACCCCAGCGTAAATGCTTCACAGTGCTACACAGAGTACCAAAATGTCGTACGGAGGGACTTCGAATACACTGTCTGTACATAGCTGAATCATTAGCTATTCGGGATCTGAAATCGGACCTCTGCGTTCAAAAGCGCTACATACATACCCTCTCACTAGCATGGCCACAGTAACATCCTAACTGTAATTTTGCTTCCTTTTATTAAGCAAGTTTACTATTATTATTATTTTTTACCATTGAAAATGGTTCCCTAACTTATATCAATCCGTGATCAACTCGTAAAAACATAACTAACCCCTACAAACCAAACTATAGAAAAATATTATTGTTATTATTTTATCATCCTAACTATTCTCATCATCGTTCTATTACTGTTTATTAATAACATTTCGTTTTCATAGATTTTATGAGGACACTTTATCTTCTTCCCACTAGTTTCTTTCCATTCTACACAGCCATGTTGATTAGTCATTTTCTCACACCTATTACGTCACGCCAACTCCTGCCTTTTTTCTAACTTTCAATTAGTCACCCGTTCTGGGTTAAACCTTGCATTACGTAATACGTTTTCCTGGGACAAATTTTACAGTATGTGAGTGGTCTTACGGTTTCTCCCTTAAATGTAATCACGATTGTGCGGCTTGTGAAACTGAATTTGCAAAAAGAAAATTTTCTTCTCTGTTTACGTCTTCTTGTTTTCCGAAATACGCTGCCAATTTTCCGAAAACCCAAAAGCAAGCCTCACCAATATTTATCGATTAGTAAAAATGTGCTGGGTTATCCCTGCCATGTAACCTACAAATTAGATCCAAAAGTTTTCGGTATCGCCTCTCGGTCAGAGATCTTGATTGACATGGCTCTTGGGCACAAAGAAATTACTTGATATCAAGCAACAAAAGGACTTCCGAGTCCTTCCCATTGACAGCTTAACAGTTTCTGAGCGCCTAAATACAGTCAAAGCCATATGGCTACAAATTTTTATAGGGTCTGCCTGAAAGTTTTACTTGCTTAGATGAGAGCAAGTCTTATGTGCTCCACCCTCAGCGTGTTGAAACTCAAAATGACTACTGTTTACAGGCTTCCGGTCTGCGTTTCAGGGTGTCAAAAGTCTGTGATCGAGTAAAAGGAATAGGCGTTGATTTAGCTAGTGGCATCTCACACCACGATTATCAAAAATGGATGAAATTTCCAAACAGCAACCCTAGCTAACCGGTCAGTTAGTGCAAATTAGACTGCAGAAAAAGCCCGAGCGGGATTTAGGAGAACACTGTGTTGTGTCAGCTCACCCCTTGCACTAAGGTCAACGTCACGAATGCTATCGCATAAACCACACTAGATTGGTTGTAAAATCGGGAGGTAATTAATAAAGTGAAGAAGCTCAAGGGACCGGCTTATAGTAATAGGGAGGGGGAGTTTCGAACGGGCTGCCACGAAATGCGGAACCTTTGTAAGTATAAGATTGATAATAGTCGTAAGGAGTATGAGACACGACTACTTTCGGACTGTGTTCATCATCCCAAAAGACTGTGCTCGTAAATTAAACAGAGGACTAAAATTTTTCATTATTAAGCAACACTGGAGAGGCGGCTGAACCAGATGACGCAAAACGTGAGAACCTCTCTGGATACGTTTTTGGTGTTTTCTGATCTGAATGCACCAACCCAAGGTTTAGTGAGGCCACCGCCATCGTCACTAAAATGCCTCCAGTTGCGGTAGAGGATGAAGTGGTTCTTAAACAACTGTCTAAACTGAAGCTAAGTAAATCACCTGGGCCCAGTGGACTTCACCGCAGGCTGTCAATCCCTTGTAGGACACAACATACATTCCTGTTACGGAGGTCTTTCAAATGTCTCTGACAAGGCCCAGGCAAAACAGGGACAGGAAGGATGCGATAACAGGCCTTATCTTTTAAAAGAGGAACAGGTAATTGGTATATGGTTGATATACATCTTAGCGAGGGTACTAGGAATAATTATAAGTGATTAGCTATTAAACGATTTGGAGATACACAGTTTACTGGAGGAAGAACAGTGTGGGTTCTGACCACGAAGATTATGCCTAACAAGCTTACTGTTAGCTAGGGAAGATCGGGTAGAAGCCAGGGATAAAAGCCTACCACTGGACGTTGTTTTCACCAATCTTAGCTAGGCACTTATTAGACTAAAGGTTTTTGGGCCAATGCCCTCGCAAGTGGTTTAAGGGCTATCTTACTCACAGAAGGTGAAATGTAAAGGTTAATGGTGCACTGTCAGGGTGGAAAACGGTATTGAGTGGAATACCTCGCGGAACTTTACTAATCCCCTTGTTATTCCTATTATGCTTAAGTGGACTACCGAAAATTCCTACCCTATCTTCACTATTATTTGTGGACGATATTAAGATCTGGAAAACTGCAAACAATAATGATTGGTCAGTGGTCTAACCACTGTAGTTTCGGAATTAATCCAAGGAAAATGCGCAGTAACACACTTAGGTCAGCGGTCTTGCTCATCGTACCTCCTGGGGAAGCAAAAAAGTGCTCGATGTTAAGGAACAAGAGGACTTTGCAATTATTGTCAGCCATGATTTGAAAACAACTGCATATTGTAACGCATCTGCTGCTAGAAGTTTCTGAATGATATTGGCATTTTAAAGGGCTTTCAAACGATCAGATCAGCCTATGTTCAAAGTACTCTACGCAGCATGTGTCAGGCCTCATACCCATGCTTTTAGAAGGAAGCACATATCTTGGAAGGAGTATGAAGGGTAGTCAGTGGTATTTTCTACCTCCCATAAGAGGAGGGAATGGAACATTTAGGTCTCTATTATCGAAATGAAGGAGAAGGGGTGACTTGATTTTGACATACTGAATATTACAGGGCGATATAGAGAGTGAACTTTCTAGCTTTTCTTATGCGTATGGGATATGTTTACGAGGGGAACTCCCTACGAGGTCAAGCAGCATCAGCTCCATTGGCGAAAGCTTTCACGGCGAAATTAAATCCCTGAAGATATATGTAAATATTGCAAGGATTCACATAGGCCACAAAACACTACCATAGGTGTTACTGAATATGAATCTAACTCGTGGGAAGTGGACTTATTTTAGCTTATCGCTTGCTAACCAGCAAGTTGGGTGTTGACTTCTCTTACATACCCTCTCAGTCCGGGATATTTACGAGGTGTAACAGTGAAAAGGTGCTTAAAAATCAGTTAGACTAGACCTGGGTGGTACTCACATTCTTCCATGGGTTGGTCAAGGTCTGGAAATATTAACTGAATCAGGTGCTATCGAATCTTCTGCGAACACTTTCAAGGAGAGGTATGATCTCTGTGAGACATATATAGTAAGGATGAACACATCTGTCAGTCGCCTACTATCCATTATCACAGAAAATTGAAGACGCAGTTGAAACCATCTCGTGTTCGCGGTATATTCAAATCGCTGTTGTGCACGCTTATTAATTATGCCTAAAAATAAAGGTGAGTTCCCACTAATACATGTATGACTGTGATTACCGATGCAAAATGAGCATAATCTATCTGAACCTTTCTTATTTTCAATATTACAGGTAAAGGGGGTAAAAATCGACGTCGAGGGAAGAATGAGAATGAAAGTCAAAAGCGTGACCTTATCTACAAGGAAGCTGGTCAAGGTAAATGGTTTCATACACTTGTTAATCCTTGAGTTTTGATTGACACTTGTAACTATTTTTAAGTGGTTTCTTATTGGGGTTGAAATATACCTAAAGATAAACAGCTCTAAATTCAACTCCACTAGGTGTCGCTTGTTTCCTACTCCATACTGTGTTCATGTTTTCATTCTCTTCAACCCCTCAATGCCTGAAGCCCAGTAATAAGTTTGTTGTGCTTCTCCCTCTATTTGTTGGGCCAGGACGTTCAATTCCTATCTCCTAATATATTAGTTTTGCCATGAGACTGTCATTCAGTATGGAAACCTGTCTGATGTTCACTCCTGCAACGTATGATTGTGTATTCCACACCTCTTCTGTCCGTTCATTTTAGCATTATGGTTTTTCACTTTAAATATTTCTCATGCACTATAGTGTTTTCAGTCTCGTGATATTGCAGCTCGTACTCCTTGTACAAATGTCTTCTGAAGAGGTAATCTTAGGGACTTGACAACTTCAATATCAACATTAATGTAGACAAAAGTAAAACTGGAGATAGTATTCAAACCCCACTTGCATTTTTATTCAGTCGGCAATGAGCCATGCTTATGTTGTGAGGACTACTCATAATACCTGGTTACTTACTTACTTTACTTTACTTTGCTTCGGCTATCTCCTACGGAAGGATGAGCCGGCTTCATGAACTTCTCAAATCATCGCTAGCCAGGCGCAGCGATCTGATGAAGAGAGTTTACGAAGTTTCATGGGAATTTGGTACGAGTGATGTCCCCAGAACCACTCGGCCTTTTGTTTGAGAGTGCAGCTCTAGCCTTTACACAACCAAGTGTGACCTACAAGGCAGTAGGAGTGGAGTAGGGAGTCCACTATCCATTGGCAGCCGGTGACCGGAGTTCGGTTCATACACCTTTTTGAATGGGGCCAGACATCCAGGACATCCAACAAGCCCTTTGTCCATACGTCTGCCGGTGAGCTCCAGTGAGCTTCATACGCCAGTCGTTGGAGGTTTGGAATCAGGGTTTAGCCATCTCCCCTAGACTGTCATCCAATCGACAGTCAACCCGGTGAAGAGCGCCGGGCATCCGCTTTCGCCCTCTCACTTTGGTGAAAAACACCTCCGCCACGTGAAGGCAGTGAGTAGGACTTCCTCAGGAGAGGCTATGTAAGACGCCCGGTCATATGGGAGCATTTCAAGAGGTGTGCGGAGGGGTGGCCAACCCGCAGCGCAAGGCACCCACCCCCGACCATCCTGAGGCTTTGGAGGCAGCCTTCGGTGAATAATAGTTATACACTATCGTTTGCAAGAATTAAGTCTCTGTTTATTCACTAACTGCAAAGTTGATGAGTTCTTGTATTTCTCGAGATTCGTGCTAAAAAAACGTATTGCTAACTAAGCTTTTGTATTCGACTGTGTGAAAATAGGGTCTTATGGAATTTACTCGTATTTGTTCTGGAAGTGTTGACTGTGTTGCCAACTGTTTATACAGATGCTTAATTCCGTCAACAGTTTCAGTTAGATCCGAGGAACAGTACAAACCCTACCCACAACTTTCGTAGTCCCACGTAATTTGACTCTTTTGTCAGTTCATGGAAGAATACTGTGAGACAATATGAAATTATAGGTACACGAGTTCAAGGATTGCAAAAGAATACTGGGTTACACAGGGGAGTCTCAGTTTTCTTGTCAGGTGAACTATTTCATGAGTTAACAGAAGGTGGTACTACTAACAAATTTGCTATTGCCAAGATGGGTAGTATTTGAGTCACTCTGCGCAATGGGAACATAAACTTCCTATATTCAAGGAACTGACACAATTCGCACATGTCACACTCACCTTTTAGACTAAAATTTACCGTCTAACATTTAAAGAAGATACTATCCCATGAAAGACTTTCCGTCACCGTGTTGCTCCAAGTTATGGGTTTACTATTATTCAACTCCATCAAATCACTTTCAGGACTAGCAAACATTAGATGGTTTGAAAGTCTCGATGACGTTACTCTTAGTACAATCAAGCTGCTCAAGTCAGTGATCCAAGGTAACAGGGGTTGTTAACGCGCTTCTAGATATCAAATTCGTACCATTATCTCCAAATATAAGCAGTCCTATGGGGATAAGGATGGTTGAAAACAGTTACCCGATATCCTACTGAAAACCTACAGCTCGATGGCATTGTTAATACTATCTTTCACAATCAAAATAACTCTTAGTGCGTAAATAGTGACTGGGATTGATATAACCCTCTTTGGCTTTCGACGTATAAATGGAAATGTCACACGATATAGTTCTAACATGTCAGATGCAAATATCTAAACACGCTAAATCTTCGTCTACTCCCAAACTTTAACTTACGAGGTCGACTGTCCATTCACTTTATTGATTTTAGTGTGGTGTGGTCACCACATATGTAATCGAATAACTGTATAAAAGAAAGAGAAATAGAACAGTTGGGTTATTAGCAGTGAAATAGGTGAGTATACTTGTCAAGTACATCCAAACGAATGTTCATTACTTCATCTTACTTTCCAGTACTAACAGAAACAAAGATTCTGACCTATATCTGATGACTTTTCGAGCTACTAAGTTGCATTACACTTCATATGCACAAACATATAGTAGCCTAAAATAAGTATCCTTCATCCCATGGCTCCACATCATAAGCTACGTTCATTTTCCCGACTTGTTCTAGGACTAACTAAACGTAAACAGTTGACAAGCAGCTAGGGAATCGGTTTTTGATAAATGTTTATCTTAAGTGATTCTAAAATTCATTATTACAAAACTTATGTTTTCAAAATATGCCCAAGTAAGTGAAAAATGCACTATTCGGAGTTGTGGAACTTCACATCCACACAAAGAAGGAAAACTTGCGTACTTCAAAACAATGAAATCCCCCCTAAAGAACTTTCCAGTCAAATCAAGCTGATAAGTATTGAGTCACAAAATCTGCCGGATATCACAGACTGTGAAGCCAACGTGTCACTAGCATTTGTTAGTATAAGTCGCCTCATTTCTAAGCACCTCCAGACTGTGAGTTTATTTGATAATAGGCAACGATATTGTTACACTTTATGAGCTTCAAACTCAGAGTGGAACTTAGAAGTGTAAACATGAAATCAATGTTCCACTATATAAATTATCAATCCAAAGACATGATCATCTTTTATACAAAACGATCTAGACAAAGTATTCGTCAGAAAGTGTCACTGGTCAGCATTGACCGGTGATTCACACACTACTCACTTTTTCTTTTCTTATAGCTGATTTACATTGAAAATAGCCTTGTGTAACAATGCACTTGCTTTTGTTTTTGTTGTTGTAGAGTACGCAAAAGTTGAGCGTCTGTTGGGAAATGGACGACTAGAAGCCTATTGTTTCGATGGTGTTAAAAGACTGTGTCATATTCGTGGGAAGTTACGCAAAAAGGTATTTCTTTCAGTGATAATACATGTATACATGTTTTCCTAATGTTCATAGTAAAAATGCAAGTGAATTATTGTTTGGAAAGTGTGGATCAGCACACTTGTTCATTAGATTTATTTTTATGATATAAGTATCAAATTTATTTTTTACTAAGAAGCATTCATGTAATGTTGATTGTTCTCCAGACTATAAGCTTTAGTAAATCAATAACTATAGTTTGTTGCATTATAGTTCAATCAGCTTGTGATATTGATTTTCGGTAGACTCCTTTGGGACTGTAAACGTCTTCTTGATTGATGTTTTGATAATGACTACTCATCATCAGTCTCAACAGTTTTCTTTTGTTATCACTTTTGTTATCACTCTTAAATGCTTTATACACAAATTCATCGCATCTTACTTGGTGCAGAGAATTTGATGTCTAATCTTTTACATGAAGACACTTCATGAGTGCATTGATATTAAGTCACGTGACAGTAAGTAATACAGTTGTTTCTTTGATCTTAAATAAGCTCGAGATCTATCGATCAGATGTGAGATATATAGTTATTAGATAGCATAGTTATGCTGTATTTAAATGCAAATAGATGTTAGATATCCATTAACTAGAAGGCGTGGACTTTCTTTCCGTGCTTCAGATTCATCAGCAAGATGTATCTGCTCTATGTTGTACAGTCAATAGGGTAGATTTCAGTTAACCTTCTTTGAACTAAACAAATACATTGATTCTTTGAGTTCCAAATGGAACAAAAGACTTCAAGCTTTCAGCCCTGAAGTTTCAGTATCAATGATGTTTCCTTTTACTAGGTGATGTTGTTAGCATCATGCCCAATTTTCCACTTTAACGAACTTACCATTTTGAATAAGTGAGGTAAGGGAGCGCATCAGCCTGGATTCAAACCCGCTTGGTTGGTGAGGATTCTACTGCTGAGCCACTACTAATTCACTTGTCCCAGTTACATAATTCAACATGGAGGTTCTGGGAGGATGTGATTTTCCTCAAATTTACACCTACACTTTTCTGACCAGTTCTGTCGACTACAACTTCATTTCGAGGATCTTAACTGTTGACATCCACCATCTAACATTTATTTATTAGTAGTTGTACACGTGGGATTGTGAGTATAGAAACTTTATAAGCATGATGTACGTTTTAGGCATTCCTTTTAGTATCTAGTTTTTTTGCAGAATACTTTGGCAGCAGATTTCTCTAAGAACTGCAAGTGGGTAGTATGATTGAAAAAAAAGTTGTTCCTTTTATGAGTATTCCGCCTTTCTGCTGTCTGAAATGTTTTTGTTTCTTCTCGGTTTTATTTTTCCCAATAATTGTCAACTATTGGTTAATTATGGGTCGTTAGCCTTTAGAAATATAGATTAGGGCGTGTGCGTGTGTGCGTGCGAAACACAAGACTTCATTCTGTCCTACTTTACAGCTGTGATACATCTACACTTTTCTTCAATAATTTGTCCTTTATGGCACACGCGTATGTCTGGATTCAACATAGAACTTGGCACCGAATTGCAGCAGTTCGAGTTGCCACTTTCCAAATAGCACACAAAGGTAGACAAGAAAATGAGTGAAGAGAATCAATAGAGTTTTGACAAGCATAAGAGTGAAACAGAATGAGTAATGGTAGAAAGGAATATGAAAGATTACAGAGACTGAATACATCTGCGTAAGCCATTGACAACGATTTTGAGCCATGTCACCTATTGTCTCGAGCCATTGATTCTTAGAGTCCCGAGGGCCCCATCTCCCTACCTGACTCAGTTTAACTGTCAAGGATTTCATGGATTGATGCCATGTTTTTGTTTGGCCACCACTTACTCTTTTCCAACCTGCACCTATATCAGCCAGTAATGCCCGTCGGGGGAGGCGATGGTTAAGCATGCGCAGCACATGACCTAGCCATCTCAATCTATGTAACTTCATAGCCTCTTCGATTGATTTCCCCTCCTTGCCCAACACTCTACGCCTAACGTCAACATTACTTACCTTATTATACCACCTAACGTGAGAAAGAGACCGTAAACATCTATGATCACACGCGTATGCTAATCGCCTACTCTATTTGTGTTATTTCCAATTTATTTCCTGTTTTATAGTGTAGAAGTGTGTGCTTTATCATTTGGTTCAAATATTATTTCAATTTGCCACTTGTTTGATGGTGATTAGAGTGACTAATAACAGCATGTTGCCCAGTTACTCTTGTAGTTTCTTTCGAATAAATCTTTTATTATGGTTGGTATTTCGCTTCAATTGTCACGAGAACAGCAGTCCTTATTGCCTCACTAATAAGTTATTTTTGTTATTTTGTATGCACCCTATGTTTGAGCAACTTTCGTTTCACCTACATATTAAGCAGAAGAAAATATTTATCATTCTTTAAAAAAAAAAGTTAAAATTTAATCTCGTTTGATTACAAAGATAGTGAATGGTATGTATTTAAAGACTGACTGGAGATCTGCTTGTAGTTTGTGTTATCAGTTTTTCTGTTTGCCTTCATTCTAAAACACTAGATCGACTTTGTTAAGTAGTGAATAGTTCATCACAAATGTATTATCTACTTGATACTATAAACGGTAATCAAGAAAGCAGGTAGGTATATTTGCATAAAACTATATGATGCTGAGATCAGTAGTGGCTCTACACTATTCACATCAACATATCGTGGTTGCTAGCTAACCAGATCTAAGTGATCTGAATACTAGACGGCTGTTTCCTTTGCTTGGGTCCGTGCTCATCAGCGGAGAGCTCAGAGAGCAAATTCAATATTAAGTATGTTCAAAATGCGTTCTTATGTCTTTCCATGTGACTATTCATTCTCTCTATTACATTCCTCCTCATTTCAGTTCTTTTTTTCACTTTCTCTGACTTTGTGTGATACGTGGAGTGTAGCGACTTAAACAGATGCACTCTTGTGCAAAGTTCTACATGGAAAATTTGTCAGTCACTCACGATACGTAGGAAATTAAGTATTTTGATTTGAATCACAATCTCTGTGAATAGATTATAACCGATAGATCGATAAATAATCGAATACTTCAGAATAGTTTATGTTATTGATAAAATTAAAAAGGAACATTCAAAACACAAATATTATTGTCTAATGTCACATAAATTCGAAGACTTACAGGCGAAAACCAACAAGTTAGCAGAAGAAGCAGGCTGCAGCGACAGGACTTCGAGTAAAATAGATAAGACGGAGGTGATGAAGATAATGAACCAACAACAACAGGAACTAGTTGTTATCCACGAGAGAAATTTGAGGAAGATAACTTCATTCACTTATCTGGCGCGTCACTGACGTAGAAGTAAAGTGCTCGCCAGCCACTAGATGGTCCGGGGTTCGATCCCCGGTCGACGCACTCCCAAACCTCGCGTAGCTGATAATAAGTCCTGCAAAGAGGAAGGGTTAAGCGTGAGATTAGTAACCCCACTCTGTAAAAAGAAGACCATTGTCACCAAAACTTCAGAGCTCTAGCTGAAAGTCCTATATCCTACTGGGAATGCAAAGGAATAAAAAAATTCACATTTCTAGGAAGCATCGTCTCAACTACAGGCAGACGGAATGGATGAGGTTGTCCAGACCAGCCAGAATCGAGAAGGCAAGACAAACCTTCATCACTCTGAAATTAGTTTGGAAATCATCTGCACTCACCATAAAGAACAAAATTCGTATTTTTAACACCGGTGTTAAGTCAGTTCTTCTATATTGGTCAGAAACTGGACAGGTCACGAAAACTGTCATACTTTTACGAGCAGCTATCTTCACTCCATACTGTAGATCAGATGGCTAGTTGAGAAGAATCAGCAACAAAAATCTCTAGGAACGAACCAACCAAGAAACCATTGCTCAACAAATATGTAGAAGAAAATAGAGATGGCTCGGTCACACAACGAGGAGACCATTGGTTGACATCGCACACCAGTCCATTGCTCAAGTGGAACCCAAGTTGGGCTTGCTGTCGAGTCCGTCATGGGGTAGATTATGTGAGGAGGAGATAAGAGGCTATGGGTAATCTTGGGACGAGCTAAAGAGGACTGCAGATAACATCGCGAAATGGAGGTGTGCCGTTGAAGCCCTGTGTTCCATTCGGAACCCAAGGGAATAATATAATAGTTTCTTTATAAACGCAGTAATTTAGAGCATTGATTAGAGAAATAGAGTATACGCCGTATTTCAATTATTTGAAATGAGTATTTAAATTCAGTATACCGCATTTGTCGCGTCGGTGGCACACCGGTTAAGACGCTCGCCTACCATGCACATGGTCCGGGGTTCAATCCCCTGCCGACGCATACTTGATATCTATCGTCGGCCTGCAAATTTGGGCTACTGATATCACATGCTGAAAATTCCATACCTGTACCAAAAATACGGTGTGGAATCAAGCTATAATCGAAAAAAAATGAAAACGTGCTTTTGAAGAAACTAGATAATACTGTCTTACAGAATTGATTATGCGATATAATGACATGCTGGAAAAATTAGCAAAATGAGACGGACTAATCTCATTTGATGATGAAATACACATATAGTGCAGTATCCTCCTCAACATTTCGTCTGTTTATGAATGTAAAAGTTGTACATCTTTACTTCTATACCATTTTTGCATAAGTGAGCACAATTCCGTGTTTCAAATTTTACTTAAGCTACTGATATCAAATATGAGTAATAGGATAGCATATAAACCAATGATTAGTTCTCGCGACGATGATCCAAAGGGATGTTGAAATTTGTCACTCCATCCATTTGGGATAGGACTTATCACCGATTTACTATGTCTGATACGTCTACAAGAGTGCAGATGTCAAAATATTGGCTTGTTGTTGTTGTTCGAATTGATGATACATAATGACCCAAGCTGCCCCACCTGACTAGGTTTCGACATAGAACTTCGCACACAAAATTGCAGCAGTTCAAGTTGTCACACTCTATGCAGCACACAAAGAAGAAAAAAAAGAACTGCAATAAGGAGGAATGTTTAGGAGAAGGAACAGTTACACCATGATGTCTATACTCATACATTCTACTCCTTGTGATCTGTGCCATATCCAATAAAACCCTGTTGCTTTTCCATGTTACTACTGTTTACCCCCACCCCCACCCCACCACATTTCTGCTTATTCATGGTTCTTTTGAATATCTTTTTCCTCTCTTCTTTTGTGTACTACATGGAATGTGGCGACAGAAACTTCTGCTGCACTCCTGTGCAAAGTTCTATGCTGAAACCGATGGTGTTGTCTATTCAGACGAAACTAAATTTCTATTATTTCTTTGCGGTGGCTTAACCGGTCACATGTAAACTATTATTATTATTTTTTCCATATAAAGAATCACATTTTTTGCTAGTTTTATCTGTTGTTGTTGTAGTAGTTAGCGTCCACTATAATATAGTGATGCCACTAGTTCCAATCATAAGGTTTTGTGATCACGTGGACTCCGATCAAGCAACCTACGTTTACCTACAAACCTTAGATTAATAGGCCATTGACTCCCCCGTTGATTGTCTCTGGTACTGCTGTCTTAGCTGTCTTGCATCCTAGGTGTACCGAAGCGAACTAGCAATACAGAACTGGTATATGTTGTGTCCAAACCAAGTTCACGTGTAATAGTTTGAAAAGATTTGGACATTGCGGGTAAGATATTCGTTATTACAAAAGTTTTTGTGTTTTCCAGTGAATGAAAAACAAAACGGTATTATTATTTTGTTTACTAACGTTTCGCTATTTAATGCTGCTGCTAATAGCTTTATCAAAGTAGTATTGTTACAAAATTTACAAAATCCACTCAGCTTATATACTGCAACTTAATCATCTTTCTTCAGCATGAGTTATTTCTCACTTTGTCAAGTCGATCATTTGACAAAAATAACATAACCGTTTGTAGATTTTTGGATTCTATTGTTCCCCCTTAGTTTTTTCCGGGCTACTGAAGAAAGACTATAACATATTACGCAGGATGTTAAAGGTTGTCAGCAGGGTAAGCAACGTGCCACTCAACCAGCTTGTTAATATTCTGGTCGACAGGCACATGGACTCCTGTGAGAAATAGGCCAAGTCCATTTTATCTAACTCACACCACCCTCTTCATTTACAACTCTCCCCCCTTGCATCTCATCAGGCAAAACAAGAAGCCTATATAGGAAACTATATGCTCGCACTAGCAAGTACAAAAACTCAACCATACCCTACTTAGCTCGTGTTCTGTGTGATAAAGAAAGCATTAGGCGTGACACATATAATTCATTAAATAGTCAGTAGTACAACTGGATCTCGTCTTTCTAACTCACATCATCAATAGGTACAACATTTTCTTTCTTTCTTTTCCTTTTCTCTCTCTTCGTTTTCCGTTATGTGCTGCTTTGTCTCTTTCTCTCGCTTACGCCAGTTAATAAGACAGCTCCCACTTTTCTAACACATTCAAACACTGTTTCAGCTTTACCTTTGCAACCGACATGCCAATGTGTTGTTGTAATAATGAACTGAGATTTCCTTAATCTATGTAGAATTCTAATTATTGATAATGTACTAACTGGATGCAATACTGTAGTAAAAATGCTGAGAATTCCATTCTGTATCACATGTACTGTTTATGGAATAAAGTAAATTATTATTATTATTATGGCATTAAAAAAACAGCACTTCTTTACACAATGGGATTGCTTATCACATTTGTGTTGATTTTGTCACTTCATAGAGGGGGTGGGTGAAGGAGTTTGGAAACCAGTTCAAATTCTGTTTTCAGACAATTTGGATTCCATTTAATATGAAGTGATTCTGATATGAGACATTTTTTGTGATTTTAATATTGTTATCTGATTCTATAGCGTGTAGACGAACTATGGCTGATGATGATTTTCAAAGCTTTTCTAGTTCACGACTGGATTTCTCAATGGTCGAAAAGGGGATCTACAGTGTTCATTTCCTCTGACCTTGATTTCTCGCGAGGTTTGTCAGATATGCATCATATCGCATCACATGAAATGGCAAAATCAACACAAATATGATAAATAATTTTCATCATGTAAACACGTGCTGTTTTTTTTAAATTTCATGCACATATCAAATCCAACAATCTACACATGGTTTGGTTATCCTTCCAAACTGACCAACTTGACAACCTCATGCCGAAGAATGATGGTTAAGTTGCTATACATAAGCTGAGATTTTGTAAATTCTTGTTTAGCAACACTCTGATAAAGCTATTAGCAGCAGCATTAAATAGCGAAACGTTAGTAAACAAAACAATAATATCGTTTTGTTTTCCACTCACTGGGAAATACAGAAAGGTATAAAGACGTCATCTGACTTTATTTTCTATCATGTGTTACATTTGTTTTATTAGGCAGTCTATTCATTCATGTATTCATTAAGATTTGTTAGTATTGTAACAACAGAAGACAAGGGCCAGGCAACAGATCGATTTTTAAGGAAAATCCACACATATTTATAGATTTTAATGTACATTATTGTAGATTATTGTTAGTAGAAAATATAGTCTGTTGATTGGTTGTTTCTCACATAAAGTTAACCTTGCATCTGTTTGTGGCTGTGTCAGATCATCCCAATGCTAACTGTATCCGCCTACGCAACGCCTTTGTTCTCATTTTCTCACCACCACCAATATTGGGGACATAAACATTGACGTCAATTACTGTCTACCAACTTTGGCTAGCAGCCAGCTCTCACCACAGTATTACCACTTAGACAGCAATAAGAAGACGTAATTTGTCTGAATCGTGAAGTGTGTTGCGCAAATATGTTACACGATTCAGACAAATTACGTCTTCCTATTGCTTTGTCTAAATTCATAAAGGGAACTAATTGGTTTAAAGTATTACTATTACTATTATTTGTTCGTCTCTATAACCCCCCCCTCAATACTCTCTAGGTGTGGATCAGTAATGGAGATATCATTTTAATCGGTTTGCGAGACTATCAAGACAACAAAGCTGATGTGATCATGAAGTATCTGAACGATGAGGCAAGAACACTGAAATCACTAGGTACGTCTATTTTTTTTCCTGTGTGGAATATTTTGTAAATTATTCTCAAAGGGAAATAAGCAGTTTTTCAGGAGTTAAGATATTTTTATGTGTAATTGCCCTGTCGTTTTAATGTGATGCAAAATTACAAAACCTTTGAACCTTATTAACCAACCTGGGAGGTAAAGTGTGAGATATTGTAACGTGAATGTGTGATCTAACAGAACTATGGAACATATTTCACTGGTATATACTACTCAATATCATCGTTAGCGCTTCAACGAGATCATGATCGTCTATTGTTTTAGAAGCAACACTAGGACTTTTCTACCTTTGAGTTGATTCCATTCAAATTCGCTTTAGCCATCGCTATTCAGAATGGATACTGAACAATGAGTACTCTTTTCGATAACTTCATCATCGGGCTCTACAGTTATATATACATTATAGTGAATGAATGAATTAGTGTTATGAACAACATTAATGTTGTTCAAATAACATCGAATCAATAATATTGATAGATTACAGCTGAATAGCATTAGCATAAAATAAGCTGAATGTCAGTAGAATTAGGAAAGAGAACTATTGAAAACCAAGGAGTATCAGACAACTATATGTTTCTTCCCAATTCGGGGTTCATCGTCAGTACCCACCCACTGACAGGGTTCGAACCCAAGACCTTCTGGTTACAAACCAAGCTCTTAGGCCACCCAGTCACTGGCCCATGAATTCTAACTTCTACCAATTTGTGATTTTACCGCGACTGGCATCAACCAATGTTATCGGCAAATAATCGCCCTCACTCTCATCCGTGTGAGCCCCACTGGTCACAGCTTCTCACTAGAACTCCAGTCAACTTTGTCCTCTAGCCAGTGACTAGCGAGCATCTTATATTTGCATAAAACTGCAAACTACTGATTGAGTGATATAAGTAGTTGTATACCCCTCATATCAACCGGTAGTAGTGCTTGCTAATCATCCAGATCGAGGTGATCTAAACACTGGACAGCCGGACTCATCAGTGGTGTACCCGATTTGACTCAGCTCAGAGAAAATTTCGTCCCATTTGGGGCTCGTCAACTGGATATTTTAGTAATGGTACTGTTCCCACTGGGACTCGAACCCTGCACCCTTCGTGACACTAGTGGTGACACATCTAGTGGTCAATACTTCATTCTTTAAAATGATGGGTGAAGCGTTCGGGTCTCAGTGGAGACATTATCATCACTGTCTGGGGGAATGCAGGTACACGCAGCTAATGACTAGCCCAAAATAAGACGAAGTGCTCAGAATCAGACCAGCTCATTCAGATGAAAACACTACCATAAATTAATGCAACTGAAATCAGACTGCAGTTACTTTAGTATTAAAATACTTTCTGGAATTCAGACATACGAATAACTGAACAAAGTAAGAAGTTCATGCTATTCCTAATGTGTACACGTAGCGGTAAACGTGTAAGGTGGTTTTTCAGTCATTGCCACACGTACAATGAATAAGCAATAGGATTTTTATGATGCATACAGTTAATTACTTGTTTAAGACCCATTTTGTTAAATAAACGGACATGACTCAGTAATCCGTGTATGTGTTTAGTATCTGTTCGTATCATGAACTACCAGGTTCTTTTTAAATCACGAATAGACTGAATTTTGTAGATGTTACGGTCAATTTTTGTCACTTTTCGCAATTAATCCGAGGAGTATTGTAACCATGTAGAAATATTAGTGATTTTCAATCAATATGTCACAGGTTTAAACCTCCTCCCCTTCCTCAATCTGAACAACTCAACGGGTAACATAAGTCTTTACGCTTTTAGTGTTATTCACAGCTTAGCTATAATGGAGAAGATTTGTAGCTCTGGTGGGTGATTTCTATGTAGTTTTGTTCTCTGATGAACTGTGGATGGTTTACTTGTGAAGCTTACATTGAAGCATGAACTGGCTAGAGAAACCATGGAGTAGTAGTTACTCAACGATGAAGAATATCTCCCACAACACTCAAATTGGTTGGAATGTATAAACCCATGTCTAACAATGTATTTTCAATTCAACGGCCAAACAAATGAACATACTGAAGGGACACCTATGAGAGCACCCATATCAGGTCTGATTACAAAAGTTGTGACTCAAAGACTTGAAAGGATAATCTTACCGAAGATTAAACCCAAAATTTGGATACGTTGCGTGGCTGACACGTGATAGTCAAAAGAAACGATTTAAAACACTTAATAAACCACACCTTCAAATTCACAAGAGGAGACGATTTCACCGACAAAACTCCATTTCCGCACGTCTTAATCTGGCGATTAATCACAGGAAAATTAGAAACTCAAGTTTCCAGAAAATCAACTTACACAGATCAAATACTCCTTTACAACAGCAACAACCCAATAACACACAAGAAGAGTTTCATACAAACACTATTCAAGAGAGCCAGGACTCATTGCAGTATCTTATAGACGTCTTTCAAACAAATGGATAACCACGAAACTTCCTGAAAAGATATCTTCTCCCAACTCAACAAGTCAAATCAAAGGCCCTCACTGAAAACACGGGGAAAATCGTTTTACTCTGTACAAAGAACGTCTCAGAAATCACTGCAAGACTTTTCAAAACTTCGAGAATTGATGTCGTACACCCACCAACAAAGTCACTTTACTCGGCTGAACCAATGTCAACCAAAAGAATCAATAGTGAAAGCAGATAATCCAACACCATGTACAAAATAAATTGCGATGACTGCGAAAAACACTACATTGGTCAAAGTGGACGCCGCCTTCGTCTTCGCATCCATGAACACAAACTAGCTGTAAAAAGGCATGCAGACAACTATGGACATCAATTCGAATGAGACACCGTTCAAATATTGGACAGCGAAAACACCAATTATGCTAGAGAATCTTTGGGTGCCTGGTTTTTAAATGAATTAGCAATTAATAGACACACGGACGTAGATAAAGTTTACCAATTCATAAGAAGGAATTCTTATGCACAAAACTTGAACTTCAGATCAAGAAAACAATCAATGTCAATACAAGTAGATTAGAGGGTGTGAAAAAACACAAAAAACCCAGTCACGTTCAAGGTCACCAGGAGAGATGACTTATAATAAACTCGTGGAGAAATTTAAAAGCTCATTTCAAATCGAAGTATGCTTTGGGGATATTGTCTAATAAGGCAATGTAGGCTTCTCAAGTAAACCATCCAGCTCAGAGAACACAACTACACCAAAATATTCACAACTTGTCATAGAGAACATCATCGTAACCAGGTGATTTGCTAAACTGTTACATTCATTTCACAACTGGCAAATACTGTCATCCATTCCTCTACTAGACATGTTTTGTTCGTCGTTGTCTGTTGTTTATGGGGTTCTCTTCCGAGTTGTAACCTTCTCACTTTTCTTCTTGAGTAGTGACTTTTCCATAAATTATCATCACTTCTCCGAAGATGTTATGCTTGACATACTACTTATGTCTATATTCATTGGGGAATAACACACCGCAATACATGACTGTAGTGTACACCAACCTCAGCAGGAGATGAGAATGAGGCTACGTCTTATTTTTATCTTTCGAATGGAATATTCTTTAATTCCTTTATTAACTTATAGTCAATGTTAAAGACTCAATTGATTTTGGGAATTCGTGTTGTATTTAGCTCTGATAATGTATCTGGCTTTTACGAAAAGCTTCTGTCTGATTGTTTGTTCGTCTTGGAATTTTTTTTCATTACCCACTCATATTTTGGAAAGTAAACTGACTATTTGTTGTTGTTTAGCCATTCCATCACATGTCTGTTTGTTGTTTATGCATAAAGAGCAGTTAGTCGCCTTTCTATTGAATCCCTGAAGATTATTAGATTGTTCATATAAGAATATCTTGCCTTAATCTGATCTTTACTACGAGGATTTTTCACATTGGATAACTACAGATACTATAACATTAGGGTTCGATGGATATGAGAGGTCACGAAGAGTGAATGCATCTATGCCAAACATTGGTTCTAAGGCCGGCTGCGCAGCTCAGTCGGTCATAGCGTCGGTGCTTCAGAGGTAGAACTTTCGCCAACCACGTACGTGTTCCAGAGTTCAAATTCCGGCTGATGCACGCCTAAACTGCGCTAAGCCGGCACTAAACCCGATGAAGAGGGGGGGTTGGGCGTGAAACCAGCAACCCCACCACAGTAAAAAAAGAAGCTCAAAGCTGAAGGCTGAAGTCCTGTGTTCCACTGGGAATGGAAAGAAATAAAAAAACATTTGTTCTTAGAATCCTGAGGACCCCAACCAGGAAGACTCCATGGTCCTACATGGAATAATTCCATGTTTTGGTTTGACCATCACTAGCTCTTTTCCAACCTGAGTTATCCTGTGTCAGCTTATATGACCCGTTATTGACGAAGGTGATAGCTAGACATGCGGAACATATGTCCTAGCCATCTCAATCGATATAGCTTCATAACCTTAGCGATTTATTTCCCCTCCTTATCCAACACTCGACCGATGCCTAATCTCAATATTGCTCATCTTATTATATCAGTTAACACAGGAAACAGAGCGTAAACATCTATCTATGATCAAAGACAGCTAGGTAGGCTTTTCATGTCTTCTACTTTCATTGGCCATGTCTCACTCGCATCTGTAAAGGAGGATAGGGCTAACTGCTGAGCAGTACACACCGCCGTTGGTCGACAGCCAGCCGGATATCACGTCTACTGAACCAGAGATAATGCAGACTCTCAAATGACACACGAGCCTTTTGTATGTATAGTAAGATTTCGTCAGCGATCAACCCGTTGAGGCTAAGGTACTCCTAACACTCTATTTGATATTTTCAAGCGAGTATTGAAAGTCCATTATTGCTTGTGTGTAAATGCGGTAGTTTATCGACTACGCTAATCTTCCATAATGTCGTGGTATTAGTAAGTCAGAAAGGTATAAATAGACATAAAAGTAAACAACTTCCGTACTACAAATTTTAACTAATCTTATTTGAATAAGGCATTTAGAAGACAAATTTCGCGAGATGATGGCATCATTTCGTAGTTTCTTTACAACCGCTTTACAACTAACATGGTTAACAATGATAAAATAAAGCTCATGACAATTACTCAGAGAATTTATGCTGTATAAACGTTATGTAGATGATACTCTCATTATTGGTAATAATAGTAAATCTATTAAAAACTGTATTACCCTATTTGATCATATTCATCCAAATATCCGTGTGACTTCCGAACTCGAATCGAATAACAAACTCGGTTTCCTGGATATTACTATGACTAGGAAAGATGATGAAACGATTCAACTATCTATTTTTCGTAAACAGACATGGAGTGAACAAAATCTTCATTTTACCAGTTTTGTTCCTATCCAGTATAAACGTTCCCTAGTGAAATGTTTGTTCTCAAGGGCCCAAAATATTTGCACGAGTGACACATTGATGGATGAGTTTCGACACATACATTCAGTTTTATTAGCTAATGGTTATCCGGAGAACTTTATCACTTGTCACAGTAAAGGGAAACCACATCTCGAAAAGATAGCTTCTGTACCAAAGAAAGCTATCTTTATTAACCTAGCATTCAAGGGCGACCAGATTAAGCAGTTGACAGCTCAAAGACTTCGGTTAGCCATCAAACGCACATTCTACGCCGCCACATCTCTTTTTCTCACTTGCCGAACATTTTCGATCCCTGTACCTACGATTAAAGGACGAAATTCTGTGGCCTACTCTACTTCAAACTGTATCTACAAGTTCACCTGCAGCTGCGGTGACACCTATATAGGTAGAACCAACAGAATGTTCCAATGTCGTCGAAAAGAACATGTTCCAAAATGGCTACTAAATCATATAGAAACTCCCAACACGATTAATCTGAATAGAAATCCAGCCTCATCCATTGCAAAACACTTATTAATGTCAGGTCACAAAATCAATATTAATGACTGTTTCACAATTATTTCACATAACTCTAATTCAAGGTTACTGAAGGTGATGGAAGCACTTTGGATTGATTACATACAGCCTAAACTGTGTGTACAAAAAACAATAGACTTCAAACTTCGCCTACCATGGACAACATGACCTATCTAAATATGATTGGTCATTAGTATCTACTGTTGTTTTTTATTTAACTGAGTAATTGTCATAAACTTTATTTTATTATTGTTAGTTGTAAAGCGGTTGTAAAGAAACTACGAAATGATGCCATCATCTCGCGAAATTTGTCTTCTTAATGCCTTATTCAAATTTATCAAAGGGACTATTTGTTTTAATCTTATTTGATTATTAGAATTAATGTGTTGGGTAATTTTTATCGTTTCATGCAGCCACAACTTGTTTTTAATACATTTCTGTTCTCATGTTGGACATGTGAATACATAGTTGTTTGTAGGTCAAGCACTTGTCCATACACCATGTTATATATAACCTTTTATATTAAGCTTGCGCTTTTTTCTCAAATACTTTTATTATTAGGTGAGATCCCAGATACTATAAAATTGGAAGAGAATGATGATATTGAATTCGACGCGAATGCTGCCATCTTCGATGAAGACGAAGATGGTGAGAAAGGATCTGATTCTGATGAAGAAGAAGAAGACGGCTCAGATGATGACAGTGATGATTCTGATGATATGGAAGAGGTGAATCAAAGATTCCGTGCTGAAGCTAGCATCACTAAGGATCAGCGAAATAATCGTCGAAGATAATTGATTGATTGGCTATATTGTGGTGTGGTGTGTTGTGGTGCGTTGCTTGTTTATAAATAAAACTGGGTTCAAATTTGACTACATATTGTTGTAAGTTAAATTTTGCTTTTTTTTCTCACTACTGATTTGGTTTGTTCACGAATAAAGAGTAAAGTTTTCCAGGCTGTAGGTTCTGACGTCTTTGTTTGGGACTCTTCAGCAGTATGCACTCATGACCGACCCTACTAGGGGTCGAACGCAAGACTTTGATGTCACAAGTGGAACCCGTACACCATTCAGCCGCTGGGATGGAATACAGCATCCATCCCATAGATTCTAACTTCCGTCATGTGTACGTACTGTGAAGAGTGCCAAACTAAGACGAAACAGCTGTCCACTACTCCCTGGCTCTCAGTAGTAGAAATTTGTAATTATTTCACATATTTGTTGTTTCGTGTTTCTGTCTTCAACTGCTTAATTCAAAATTATCCTTCTTCATACGTGGCGGTGGGGTTTTCCATCTTGTTTAATTTCCTAGCCAGATGCCTTGTGCTGAATAATGTTTTAGTACACAATAAGTAGAATTGAAACACTCTTCTAGGCCGTTTTTCTGCTTGTGTTTCTTAATTATGGCATGTATAGTGAAATTTGTATTTCTGTTTGTTAACGTTTTGATGTAGTTTACCCTTAATTTTGTTTGCCATCGTCGTTATGACTACGGTGTTCTTCTTTTTTTCTGTGCCTATTTAACAACTAAAGCTACAGTAGTCAGTGTCTCCACAATATTCTTCTTTTTGTTATTATCATTCCTTTGAGTTCCGAGTAGAATACAGAGCCTCAACAACACATCCCCAGTTTGTCCTGTTCTCTGCAACCCTCATTAACTGCCCCCCACGATGGCTTATATGACTTGTTCCATGTCACCTTCGGACTCCTAACCCACCCATTGGTTCCCAGTCGGGTTCCAGTCGAGGGCCTGGCGCGAAGTGTCAACCGACCAACCAACGGTGTTCTCAGCATGTGTTCAATCCATCTCCATCTTTTCTTCGGGATATATTTCTTAACTAATAGGTTCTTGGTTGGTTCGTTCCCATAGTCCCGTGTTCCTATCCTTCCTGAGCATCTGTTGATAAAAATCTGAAGTAGTAGGCTGTTGGGAATGCTTTTCATGACGCGCCAAGTTTCTAACCCATATAAGGAGAACTGATTGACTTAACATGGGTGTTGAAAATCCGAATTTTGTTCTTTATGCTGATTGGAGGAGATTTGCTTTTTACATATTTATATAGTTTTCTGTCTCCCCCCTTGTTATGTATAGGTGTTGCGTCTTTTCGCTTACACTTGTTTTGGTGATGGTTTGATGAATAAAGATTCGGTGATTAACCTCTCCATCCACCCAAATGCATATTTTAATTTTTTGAATACTTTCACCCTATATGCCATCCTATTGTGTGATTATATGCAAGTGAATGCCTTGACAATTGTCGAGCTTTTTTCTGGATTATTTAACAACTTATACCAGGGTCAATCTAGCTAAGATATCTCTCTATGCTCTGATAATCTAATCGACTTAGATGTACTAGTTTGACCTATGTGACTGATCTCACGGTCATTACATGGTATTTGGCAATTGGAATGACGCAATGCTTACAATGGAGATATGGAAAATTGCAATAAACAACTAGAGAGAAAGAGAACAAAACATATATATATATATATATGTATAACGAATTATTAATCGTCTGTGTAAATAAATTGATGTGATTATGAGCAGTAAATTCTACTCGAAACGTTGTCATCCAGTTAATAATACTATACCACCCGTGTTTTTTTTGTTATATTAAGTGAAATTATGTAGTACGGCGGAATTGTTACGTAGTGTTTTCATTGCCTCCCCCTCTTATAAAGTACAGAGCCTGTCTTGTGGCTTAATTTACAGCCCGATGATAAATTCGTTGATAATTGTTTCCTTAGTAAATTACTTGGTATTAATTTTTGGGATTTTAATTGTCCAATTAGAGGAGCATGTTTATTCGATTATAAAATGAATGGTATTCAACGAGTGTTTTCCTGTCTCTGTATAGGGAACTATAATTTCAGCTAAATGGTTGTAGTCAATAATAAGTCTTGCTTACACTCAATCCTAGCCTCGGTGCTTCAGTGGTTGAACACTCGCCAACCACGTATGTGATCTGGGATTCGACTCCCGATCGATTCACTCTTGAATCTCGCTCAGTCGATAGCAAGCACTGTAAAGAGGGAAAGTTGTACGTGAGGCTGGCAACCTCACCACCCAGAAAAAATGAATAACACCACTGCTCTACTGAAACTTCAAAGCCCGCTCTTGAAGCTCTCTGTTCCACTCGGATTGGAAGGGAATAAAATGACAAGATAATGATAATAATAGCTCCTAATCATTCAATTACTATTTTGTTTTATTCCTTTATGTTCGAAGCGGAACATGGGGCTTCAAGTTTTCAGCTTCGAAGTTCCACTAGTAGTGGTGTTTATTTTTATACGGGGTTGGGGTTGCTAGTCTCACGGTTAACCTCCCCTCTTTACCAGCCTTACCATCAGCTTAGCGAGGTAAGGGAGTGTGTTGGTCGGGGATCGAACCCTGGACCACGTGTGGCGTGTTCCGCGAGCGTTCTCCTGCTGAACACCGACACACACACACACATTATCATTATCATTATTTAATTTGCTGTCTTTGATTTCTTTATTTTACAGGTTTCTCTCAGATATGGTAATCGTATATATATAGATGATATAATGTATGCCTCTTATGTGTTTGCTTCTGTCTGTGTCATCTTGAATGTGTGTATGACAAATGTCCATAGATACAAACACACTCACACAGTCACTTTTAATGCGTGTATATCTAAATTTCCACAAATGTTGTCTGTATTTTGGTACTTAATCATCTTCTTTGACACTTAGGCAAAATACTTGAGTATATATTCTTTTGTCATTTTAAACAAACTAACACAAAATAATTGATTTTTATGCACACTGAGGAATGCACAAAGATATGTACTATTCGTCTCCTCTTATCTTAATGCTTTTCTCAATGATGTAATTCCTATTCTTCGGTTATCATCATCTCTTCAGAGAAACACAAATGTATGTTAGTCAATCAACTGGATTTGTTTTCTCTTTCGTTGTTTTAATTACGCGATCGATATTCGTTGTGTGTGTGTGTGTGTGTGTGTGTGTGTGTGTGTGTGTGTGTGTGTGTGTGTGTGTGTGTGTAGAAACGTCTTTATGTGTGTCCATGAATTTTATAGAATACAGCGCGAAACTCCATTACTGTATGGGATTGTGATTGAGATTTTTTTTCTCTCCACCTGTCCATCTCTTTTATTTCAAGGACTACTTTCTCATGCTTATTGTTCTTGTTGGTGTAGAGTGATATTCAGTGCAGTAGTCCTGGCGAAGTTAGACTTTAGGCACCGTGTTAAAGGCACTACCTCACCAATCACCTTAGAACGTTGAGTCAATAAGTTAGTGAAAGCAAATGAGGTAAATGAGGTATAAATCACCGGAAATACCCACTGAGTCATGAAGAAAGATAGAAGGCAACTCAGCGAAGAAAGGAAATTTTCTTTTCGACGGAGTCATCAACTAGGCTGTACATTCGTGTGTTTATATTAAATCTGTGTGGGAAATTTCCAGAATTATTTCTAGTCAAATTAATGCAATTACAAAGTGTAATAAGCAGAAGATAGGTGGTGGTACTATTCTCGAAATATTCCAGGTCGAAGGTCAGATTAAAAATTACAATGTGTAATGATCTGGAAGGTCGGGTAGGAAAGATATAATTACTCAGAAGTGGCTTTAGAAGTGAGAATGAAAGTTGTAAATTACGTAGTACTCAACAGCACGAAGGAAGAATGAGTTAGAAAATTGATAAGGTTAAAGGTAGTTGAGTGTAAGTTTAACAAGTGTGAAAACGTACAAAAGGAACATATGACAATGTTAATAGTGAATTAGTTATTAAAGCAAAAGCAAACTAAAAAGTGAAATTGAAAATTAAGAAAAGTTTTTTACAGGGAACGATCAGTGAAGAGGTTAAGACCAAGGTAGAAAATAAGAGACTGGACAAACTTCTTTTTGTATACAGAGATCGGGGTTGTATTGACGAGTTGCCAGTGCGCCTCCGTCATACACAAAAGCCGAAACCTGACTTCCTTTGTACCATTTGGCCTCACTTTGTAGATGATTTTGAAAGATGACTCTGGTGGAGCTATGTGGCTTGAGTTCGCTAACTGCTCGAGGATTGAGCTAGTAACTGCCTTGCATTGTCCGGATAATGTTCAGAGATGCATTTGAAAGTGCACGGCCAGTAGTATATCTGCTAAATTTTAGTTTGGGTTCAGGCTAGAAACAAGCTCGGGGGTTAGGTTAACCAGATTAAGGAGATATCATAAGTTGGTTCGATTTGGATTAAGGCGAGGTTAAAGAAAGATAAGATTTGGGTTGGAAGATGAAATTCATCTTTCAGCAATATGGCTGTTTGCAAAGTTGTTGGAGCCCTTCGTGACTCTTCGGCGCCTAAAGTTTGACGCTGCCGTAGTTCTTATACGAAACTTGTGTTTCGCATCCCATAGCACTACAAATTATCCCTGGTCATATACATCGATATTTGTACTCTGATTTAGTCATAAGTCGACCGTGAGATTGACAGTTTCACGAAGAAGAAGAAGGTAACAAGGGGTGTGTGCTGAGACTCACTTCCCTATGGCAAAAAAGTTCTAATATTTTGCGTTCTTATAATTTAAACTCTTGTAAGGTTTTGTCGAAATTTATCTCAACAAGGTTCGTTTACTTCAAGGATGTGTGCTTGATCTTTATTTAGACAGTGAAAACCGCCTAGCGTATTGAAGATCTGCAATCGTCTTTTTGTTTTTTAACTGCCTAATGAAATTCAAATGACTATTGTGTTTGGCTTTAGCCTTTCACGATAGATTGACGTAAGTACTTGTGAAGACTGTGTGTGTGTGTGTGTGCTACTGATAAGATTGATAGGAAGCAACCGAAATCGGGAACAAAATTTTAAGTGAATAGCTATTGAGGTGGAAGTGTTTGCTCCTCAAATCTGGATTTAGTTTACGTCATGGTCGGGGCAACTTTTCACCTAAAGGTTTAACCCTCGAAAAGTCGACAACCAGTCAAGACAGTTTATTTGTCCCCTGACATAGCCGACCCTTATTGTGGCTAAAAATATACAAATATGATGTGGTTTTCCTTTTATAAAAAGTCCTCCATGAAGTCTATTGTCTTCTTCCTTTGCAGCAGCACAAAAATATATGCTACAAAGAAGTCCCACTACAGTTGTGGCAAATTCTGTTATCACTGTAACTCTGTTTTCTCTTAAATTGACTCTTATATTTGATATTAGATGCTTGGAGGCAGGAAGCCCTATCTGACCTAGGTTTCGTGCCAATTAGCACTCGTCAGCAAGGCTTATCTCCAACCTAGAAAGAACTCATGTCCCTTCTGAGATTCGAACCTGCGTCACCCGGTGCCGCCTGCAGTCAGAGATGTTACCACTGAGCTATTCAGGCTCACGACTGACCTCCTGTAGGACCGACTGTATTGGATATTGTTGATTGAACACTACTCAGTAACTAGTGTAGTGTGTCTATTCCTATCTTTGGTGCAGACTGAATTCTATCAGTCAAGTAAGTCTGCAATGTGGCCACTACTCTAGGGGGCTAGCCATCACGGTGCGCTGTGAATTATTTCTATCAGATAGTTGGAGGCAATCGGCAGGAAGCCTTGCTAGGACCTAGGTTTCGTGCTAGTTGGCTAGTCGTCAACAATTCACAGTGTACCGTGATGACGAGCCATCTAGCATGATGGCCACAATGCAAACTTGACTGATAGAATTCAGTCTGCACCCAACAGAGGACTAGACATATTACACTAGTTACTAACTAGTGTCTAAATCAAGAATGACTCATATATTATTGAGTGGAATTTCGGCAAACGTTTGCTGTAATATTATTATTTCCTTTAATTCCTAAAGGAACATAGGGCTTCAGCTGCACGTCTCCATTGCGTTCGGTTCTCTGCTAAAGTTTTCACCTGGCTCCAGGTCTGCCCACGTGCTGTCATCTCCTCTTCACTTGACCTCCTCCAAGTCACCCTTGCACTGACGACGAACTCGCCACTTCCCTTTCGGGTTCCACTCGATGGCTTGTCACTTGATGGTTTCCTCAGAGTATGGCCAATCCACTTCCATTTCTTCCTGCATATTTGTTGCACAATCGGTTTCTGTTTGGTTCGCTCCCAGAGATCCCTGTTACTGATCTTTTCTGGCCGGCCATATGATTTTGAGTATTGAGCGAAGGCAGCTGTTGATGAAGGTCTGTAGTTTGTTTGAGATGCTCTTTATGACGCGCCAAGTCTCTGATCCGTATGGTGAGTAGCACTGACTTCACATTGGAGTTGAAAATCCGGATCTTATTTTTGATGCTGAGTGCTGTTGACCTCCACACAGACTTGAGGGAAATGAAAGCTTGTCTTAAGATATAATAAATCTACTTATATGCAACAGTAACCTTTTGGAACAGAGAATTCACTTCCAGTGGAGGTATTCGGTAAAAACCTATGCGTCAAATTCTAGTCAGACAACTTACTGCTAAATTCTGTCAACTGTAAAAAGGAATTTATTATAGATATGATTTTAGTTTGATAAATTGTCACACAGTGTAATACAGTAATATTAACTGATGACCACGTTTCGAGCACAAACTATTGCTACTCATAATCATATCAAGTCACTCACACAACCACTTTTTACTTCATTTATATACATGAATGGAATTGATGAATAGACATTTGAATAAAAATCAATATGGGATAATGCATTGATTTTTATTCAAATGTCTAATCAATTCCACTCATATATATAAATGAAGTGAAAAATTTGTGTAAGTGACTTGATATGATTATGAGTAGCAATAGTTTCTGCTCGAAACGTCATCAGTTAATATTACTGTAACAGAAATGATCTTATTGCCTCTGATTATTGGGAACTTATTCAAATATTAGAGACAGATCATGGTATTTCAGACAGGAATCCGAATGAATCCTGTTTCAATTCGGTCATTCTTATAACTTCATCCATCAATTATATTCCAAAGTCAAGGTTGAAATAAGCATTGTGCATACATATTTTGTAAAAAAAAAGGGTCTTGAATTCATGAACGTTCAAGGATTCCACTATCTTCGAAAGTTTAGAACGAAGAAAACTTAGCAAGTTGACATGAATTCGATAGATAAGGTTTTAAAATCCTGGTCAAGATTGATTTCGTGAGAGAAATCGATCTAGTGTTCGAGAATAGGGTTTCTCACATCCCTTCTCCTAAGTTAAACCACTCAGGGATATACTGCGGTATATTTGGAAAGTATTGTCAGGCTACGGTCAGTGTACTTAGTTCCAGAAGAGTAGGTGCACATAAAGCCAACCGGACAATGGAGCTAATGTTTTACCCAGCTGATCAACGTCAGTCGCAGTTTCGCTGCAAATAACGGCTAACTTACTGATCAGAAAAGACGAAATTTGGGCATAGCTGAGGCTTAATCACTCTGAATTCCAGATTCATGTTGATGGTTTTCTTTGCAGCTGAGTAGGTGACAGGTCCAAATTGTCTGTCTTTTGTGTTTCTACCAGAAAATCAGTTTGGGTAACTGTCTCGAGCTAGTGTGGCTTTTAGGAATTAAAGTGTCGTATCGGAACTACAAATGTTTTTTATCCTATGGCAGAGAGAATGAGCCAGGCTTCTTTTCCTGGAAGCTAATGCTTAGCTGTAGAAATTGATCAGTCATACGTTTTATGTACGTCTCCAATGGGTAAATCTCTTAAGAGATTTCTCATTACATCTAGTGAAGAACACTTCAAGAAATGGAATGCTTAGATCGAAGTCTCTTTCTATTGTGAATTATAA